CTTGAAGGTAAGACTTAGATATTTCACAGGTATCTCGTGTAGGCGATGTCCTCCAGCTCGTTAGAGGTCGGAGAACATGATCCGGAGCCGTGGCTGCCTTCATGGTCTTGATTGCGGTGCGTACTTCAGTAGGTAGAATCCGTAGCAGTATTTCTCCAATGGGAAAGATGGGGATTGACACGAACGTTGACGAGCGGAGGAGTTTGGCGTAGAATCTCTTTGATGGAAACAGGGGCAGGATATGAATGCGGACATATTGATAGAAGGCAGAAAGTAATAAAAAAACTGGAACTGATTTTTTCTTCTCTCCCGGAAACATTTATCTACATATTATTCTGTTGTCAGAGAAGTTTCTGCGATTTCTTCCACACTCAAGAATCTTTTAAGAAATAGAAAATTCTGACAGCACAATGTAAAATTATTCGAAAGTAAAAGCCTCCTTTACAAAAATTTGCATTTAGCTTGTTTAATGAAATTAGTTTTGTTGAATTAGGAGTGTTTGAAAATGTATTTCTAGACAGTTTATGATTTTCCAGTAGGTCAGTGATTTTTATCCTACCATCAGTCTACCCTTATGTCACAGTGAGGATTTACTGTGCGTGATGGGTAGCATTTTTGTAATCTGCACGTCAAATAAGTCCACTAACCGCTTTTTAGACAATACCGTAGTAATGGGCACTGTAGCATGTACCTACTGTAATCCTATAGCAAGACCTATTACGGGAAATTGATTTTCATTATTAGCATAACAGATTACCCCACAAGGTAACCTAATGTGAACCTGGCTTCAGAAAAATTAAGCTATCGGTTAAGTTTCTTTAAGCGTTCTGGAAATGCATTTTCAATCACTTTTAGTTCAACGAAACTGAATTCATTATTAAAAGGTAATTTGTGGAGGGAGACTTCTGCTTTCGAATATCATACAATATGCTGTCAAATTTTCCTGTTTCTCGGAACATTTTTGCGTACGAATAAAAGACCGCACAAACTTCTCTGATAACCTAATACATCTCGAGGTTTCACTGGAACATGACGAATGTTAAAAACAATGTAAAGAAAGAACATGAATGGTTTCTTCTCATTGCAAAATGCTTTCAAGTAGACAGCAACAAGACGGACTAACGTAGTAAATTTTGTTTAATAGTCTAACCGCACTTGTACTACCCGCCGACTAGAGGCTGTTGGGCCACAATCCGACACATCATTCTTGCGAATGGCTTTACATGAAAAAGAAAGAAAGATGTAGAAAAAGTGATAGACGGCAATAAATACCCTAACAATGAATCTGTAAGAGTCGGCAATATTTTTTATTAGTGGATATGTTTAATACTGTAAACTGCCTTTCATCTCTCAAACACATATAATATCTTTGAGAGAAGAAAAGGTCAAAATATTATTTCAGAGTCGCCGACCAGATCTGATGATGAGCCAACAGGCGAAAAAATTATACGCCAATGGGGAGTTTCCAGCGGTAAGCGCTTTGATAACACTGATTAGTTCACACTTACGAAATTTGCTTTCTCAAAGGCTATGTGGATTAGTTATGCAAAAATAGTTTTTTTTTTCAGTATAGAAAGGAAATGTTATGATGTATGGAACACAGCTACATCAGCGATCATCAGCGATCACCAGTAAACGCTTCCAGTTACCACCTTCGTTTCTTTGCTTGAAACTTCTCTGTTGCTTTTACTTTTTGCACAGATAAAATGAAGATGTATATGTGTCTATATTCTATGAGGTCGCATATATTTATGCATTAAGTAGATATATCGCCATTTTAATCAATGTACATTAAATAGCGTGGGAATTTTATAAGTTGAATGTTTGCTCGCTCTAAGTAATTGCTAATAGCTATGCAACAAGCTTATGCGATAGCCTCTGAACAGATAGTAAATTCTACAATTACTTCGTTATGAAGGTTGACACGACTCGATGC